TCCCTTCCGACCCTAGAAACTATGAAACTATGAAACTTTCAAGATATCTTTCTTAGCAGCAGTATTTTGAATGGATTGCAGTGGCTGAGCTTATGAGCTTGAAGTCCAAGAAAAGGATATTACAATATACATGGTGCAAGGTGATTGGAGGCCTGGTCAAGAATTAGGAAGTGGGAGCAGGGAAAAATGGTTGGACCTGGCAGATGTGCAGAAAGCAGCAGCAAGATGTAGCTGTAGCTTGGCTGCGTGAGTTAGAGAGGGTCTGGTCAAAGAGGAGACCAACGTTAGACTCCTGAGCAACAAAGAGTGTGATTACTGTGATTAAAAAGGGTGGGAAGAATTGAAAAATTGGGAATCTTGGGCTGAAGTCTGTTTCATGCAGTTCTTCCCATTTGATAAAAAGGACAGTATATTTCTGAAGCTCTGAATAGTGAACAAGGAAGCTGGTTTTTTTGGATTAATGAAGGAAGTTTACATCCATATACACCTATATGATTAAGGTGATTAAGCAAGTTTACATACATATACACCTATATATGTATATATGAGAGAGTTGTGGTATGGTTCTCAGATACAGTCACAGCCATTTTTTTGTCTTTTTGTTGCCCAAAGGAATGGGAGACCTGATTCCCAGCCTCCTATTCTCCACTAAAAGCCAGATGAAACTTAGGGCACCTATACCCGTGCTCCCAGTGTTTTAATTAGAGTAGCTCTTGAGAGCCGCTCTAATTAAAATGTATACAGTGTCTCATGTATTTACCATCTCTGCTCTGCAAAATGTCAGTGGGGGCTCTTTAACTAAAGTCTGTTTGATGAGGTTTAGTTAAAGTGTCCCCACCTCCATTTTGAAATATGAGGATGCTGAATACATGAGATGCTGCTAGCATCTGGAGTGTCCTGATTAGAATGTTCCAACAGACTCGATTAATTGAGTCCGCTCCAACACGCTCTAATCAAAACGTGTCAGAGCACATGTAAAAGAGCCCAAAAGGACAAAACACACTTATTTTGGTACCTCTCTGAGTTTAGCCAGCTTGTCATTTCTGTTTCCCACACCTTAATGGGACTGACCTCTCCAAGTGAATATAGTGGGCATGAAAATGTGAGACTCATGGTTTTGGCATCTGAGTCTTTATCTTCCCTTTTTTTACAGAAAAAAGTGCAGCACAAGCAAGTAATAGCCCAAGCTTGCCCAAAAGACCTTGTCACCCCTAACTTGGAAGGAACCCTGCTTTCCTCTGCTGTTTAGGAAACAGTTAACTCTCTGCCCTTACTTATTCTTTTGACTTGCTGAAGCTGCCAACACAGATACTCTAAGTGCCAATTGTGGTGTGTTTTGTGAATAGGGACTTGTCTAGTCAAGTTTATACTTACACTGCCAGAATAACCATCATATGAGACAGTTTGTGGACTGAATTTCTTCTGGTGACACAGGAAACAAACTCCATGTATCGCTAGTAGCCAAAGATTAGAGTAGATGAGGAATAGTGGCAAGAAGAAAATTTCAGTGATCTTTTTCTATGCTAATGATCAGCAATAAGTGTTAAAATCAACTGAACTCTCAAAGACAAGGTTCAGTAGTTTGCTTGTAGTATGCTTGCTATGCATCCTAATCTAATCATGGTATAAATCTGTTTCTCTCCCTCTGTAGACGACTTTGCAGAAGAGGAGGAGGTGCAGTCCTTCGGTTACAAGAGGTTTGGTAAGTAACAAAGCATCTGTTACTTTGCTATTCCTTAGATAAGGTCTACCATTTGTTTTAAAGCCCTTCACTGGAAACAGTAAAACAAGATATGGGAACATGGTAACCACTGGACCAAGACAGATATGCAGAGTACAAAAGGGACTTGGTATGACCTTATCAATAAGCAGCATCCTTTAGAAGTGGTCTTCAGCTAATTGAAGTTTTTAAAAGTTTTTTTTAAACTTCCTTTCACATTCCAAGTTATTGGTTTTTATCTTATTTTCATAAATACTTCATACAAAGTCTGTTCTTCAGCACTAGTGAATTGCTGCTGGTAGTTAAGAAAATGGTATAGTAGTGTACCTCATTCATTTCTTCTTGGCAATCACTCATTCCTTAGGCCTATAGAAGACTATTTTAGTTGTCAGGAATAGCACAATGGGAATTATAATGGTTCCAGGAAGACAACGTGACCCTTCAGCTAGAGTTTCTGTATATGTCCTTCTCAAAAGATGGAAGTTATCAAGGCAGAAATAGGTATGGTGTTTGGTTATTCACCATTTAAAACAAGCCCTAATAATAATAATAGTAACCTTATCACCATTTCATTATTTGCTTCTGATTTTAACACAGTGCAACATGATAACTTATTAATAGCTATGTATGAATATTCTTTACTAATCCTACAATATCAGTTGTCACCTTTTAAAAAAAACCCAAACCTTTATTCATTGAAATGATTATGGAGTGCATTGGAATCAGTCCCATATGAGTCTAAAAAGGGCCAGAAGCTTCTGAGGCTATTTGCTGTTCTCATGGGATAACCTTCTCCTTGGCAGCCAACCTTGAAGGCATTCTTTGCCCTCCCAAGGTCAAGGGCCACTCCATCTAATGATCACTAATGTCATGGTGATGTTGACACCATATTGATCATGTGGAAGTCCTGAATGCTGGGCAAGATGTTTTTTTCCTAGATGAGAAATAGATAATAGCCCATTGGGTCAGACTTTGTAGGGGCCTGCGGTCCAGAGATTCCTTTTTGTTTGGTAGCTGTTTACAGGTAGGTGAAGGTTGTAGTACCTATCAGGCAAAAAACTTACCTTATATTTCTGTCCTTCAAATTATGCATAGCAGTAGGGAAAGAAGTGTCCTCCATCTAGATCTACAATCTGGAACAGGAAGCCCTTTAGTTGCCCCTGTTTTCAAATGGGAATGGGAATTTAAATGATGTATATTAATAAGGCCCACTCTCCCCAAAATGAGGAAGAGGATAAGGAGTTGTGGTGTTTGGGAGGTGAGGATTGCATTTGCTGATCTCTTCTGCTGAACTACACTACAGTTCCCTGTGGCTGAGCTTTATGTTGGATAGGTCAGCTCACTGTGTAGCCAGCATCTGTGGCTTGGAAAGCCTATACGGCTGTACATACTTTCTGCTGGATTAAGCCCTGGAATTCCAGCAGATTGTAACTGGTTGTCACCTCCAGCTAGGAAGAGTACAAAATTCAACATGAATTATAAAAATAGTTTCCCTCAAAGTTGCATATTTGCTATGCAGATTCCTTCAGGGTATTCTTGCAAAGGACTGGAAAGTTTTAGTGTGGAAGTCCTCATGTTCTTGTAGTAGTGAAGTAGCGTAGCATATTAGGTATTAATATGTCAGCTGGCTTTCATTTTTCTTTTCTTTGCTGTGAATGGTAC